TTCAGACTAGGGTTAGGGTTTTTGCATTTCTCGAAATTAAATGGAAGAGGGTCAACTCAGAGATACAATATTTAGAAAGGCAGATAATGTGAGAAAAAAAAAAAAAAAAAAAAAAAAAATCTAAAGAGAAGGTAGGATGAAACTCGTAAGAGTAAGACTAGGCTTCTGACGGATATAACCTATATCAGTCAAAACCTGAGCATGAAAATTAACCAATTGGGTCTACTTGTTTAGGTAGTGCATTAAACAAGTTGATTATTCTTTAAGCAATTATTTAATTGGTTTAGGTATAGAGGATCTAAAATCTAAAACCCAAATAGGTGTCTTCTACCAATGAGAAGATAGTTTCTCATGAATTTTTTTTATTATTGACATAAATAGTTTGCCTTTAATTGAACAAAAAAAAGAGTTAGTTTCAATGTATGCACAAATTATCTTGAGGACCTTCCGACTACTAAACATAATATATATATATATATAGTAAATGATGTTGGCTTAACTCCTTGGAACGCTTTAACTGTTTGTCTTTGAAATCATTAGCCCCTTAATATACACTTTGTGTGTTTTAGCTTATAAATTTCATGTTATTGTTGTAATTGACCTCAAATAAATAGAATCCCACCACATGACCATCTTTACTCTGTTATGCTATCCTCATTAGGTCATGTTAGCACAAATATAGTCCATTTGGAACCACAGAGGCTTCAAAAATCTCATCCAACAAAGTACACAAGTATCCTATATCTTGTGCAGGAATTTTCTTATTTCTATGGGTCTCAATGAATTATATTTATGCTACCATAACATTAATTAAAAAGGTAACAGAGTAGAGATAGCCACATGTCTTACATGATGGAATTCGGTTTGTTTTAGGTTAGTTACAATAATAATATGAAGTTTATGGATTAAAGTACAAAGTGTATCTAGAGCGGCAAATGATATAAAAAACAAACAATTAGAGGGGTTCTAGGGTTAAGTCATTGATGTTTCGTCCTCTTTTCTTGAGGAGGGGTGCTGTTTGATTTTAATTACAATTGAAACTGAATTATTGGTAAATCAAAATTTTAGTTATTAAATTTTAAAAACCAATACCCAAAGAAGAAACGGGTTTTATCAATTTCAATTTTTTTTTTTTTTGAAAATAACTATTTTGATTAGTTTAGGTTTTAAACAAAAAAATTAGTTTTATATTTTTTTAATTTTTTTAATTTATAAATTGTTATTATAAATTTCAATCATTAAAAAATTAAAGATACATAATTTTGTAAAAAATAGAAGAAAACCTAAAATAAATTTAGAAATCATTAAAAATTTTATATAAAAGATTTTTTAACCAAAATTTATGATTATATTCATCTTAATCATTCGTTTTTCAATTTTTAAATTTAACAATCAAAATTTAAATAATTTAAAATTAATTCAATTTTTTTTATAAAAAAACCCAAACCTCAATCAAACTCAACCTACCGATTATATATAGTTTCGATCCATTCTGGATTTTTCCGGCCACTTCTACTTTTCTCTTTTTCTTTATTATTTTTTTTTTGGGTCTTTTCTTTTTT